AATAAAATGATCGCTCTATTGACGGCATGTTTGTTTTTTGCAATCCTTGTGCACGCGCTGAATTGCATCAGCAAAAGTGCGCGCGAAAACTGTGTTCGGTGGCTTTAGTCTTTTATTACAAAGATATGTTAGAAATGAAGGAATGAAGGAATGAAGGAATGAAGGAATGAAGGAATGAAGGAATGCATATCTCATAAAGCTTGGGGTCAACTGGTCATTTTCGAGTTGCCTTTTGCCTCTGTTAAAACGAGTCTTCGTGAGAAACCAATCATAGGAAAATGTGTTCGCCGTACAGGTTCATTTTCATTCAAATTGAACTCATTTTCATATGAAAGGTTTTGCACGAGGATTGGTTTTGAAACAAAGGTACAAGGTAGCTTATTCCCTATATTTGTCGCTGCAAAATGGAGGTATGACGACAACAATAATCTTTTTCTGAGTACCCTTTAGATTTGCATACAACTGGGTGAGAAAAACATATTAATCCAGGTTTGATAGTTGCGGATACAAGAGAGCACAGCGAATCAGAAATAGCAGATGCTAGTCGTGTTAAGTGACTGGGCTATACACATAAAAACACAGGCAGTCAAAATAAATAAATAAATAAATAAATAAATAAATAAATAATGAGCGAGGGCTGTGCCCTGTTTAACTAAAATTTGAACTACATCAATATACCAGTCAATAGTACGACTCTTGACTTTGAGATTTTTTTCAATAGAATTCCAGAGTTTAGTTTGATCCAAGGAGTGTGGTCGCAGCTAGAGTAATATCCGTATAAATTTGATAATACGTTTTTTTTTGCATTGTTACTGTAAGAGTTCGTTTCCTATAAAGTTCCTAAAATCGCACTCTCTGTAGATTTAGTAGATCGAATCTAAATCCGTGTTTTTGTGATTCATGTTGCGATCCGTTCGCTTCTTTGGGAAAGGATTCGAAAAAATGATTTCCCAGCGGTCTTAAACTCTTACTGATCTACAAATTCGAAATAAACTAAAGATTCTAAGAATGGAACACAGCTTGTTTCTGTTAGTCGCCTTTTAACGAATCTTTCTACGAGTTTGTTTGTATTTTATATTGAAAGTTTTTAATAGAACAGGTCGAACAGAACCTGATGTGACAGTGTTGAATGGGCCATTTTGGGTTTCTTCCTTGTCTCGTCGCTTTTGTGTGCACCAAGCAAACGGCCGCATCAAGAACACAGCGCCAACGGTACGAAACAGCAATGTAACAGCGAAGAACGAATCCATACGAACTGAACGCGGAGTCAAAAATCGTAAAAACGAAGGACAGTTACAAGTGTACAATTAACGCTGTTAGGTTCATAGATTGACATGAAAATGATGAAATAACTGGTAAAAGAGAGTTGCTTTTCTATTAACGCCAGCAGATTTGCCAGCACCGCCCTTATAATTTTCCCCATCTTTGAATAACCATTTCTTGCACTGACAGGTGATATGCTTTAGTGGAAGTTCACAACGTACGTATAATGGAAAACTATGAATAAGAACACTTGAAAATAGCGATAATGAACTCTAATTTAGCACAACTATTGTTGCATGATTCCGTGCCATTTGTTTACAGCTCTTTTCAAGCAAGTATTTCAAAGAAAGTTCATTAATTTAACTCGACTGTTTTGACATACAGCGGTACCCAGTGTGTGAAAATAATAATTCATAATTTGTTACCTGTTTCCACTATTATCTTTCCTTCCTTTACACCTAATTTAGAGCGTAATTGACGTCAACAACATTTGCTTATGGAAGAGAAATATCCTGTCAAAGTTTATTCGACAAATGGTCATAAATGCCGGAAGACTTCCGTTTTGATTATGAAAAAATAATCAATATGTAAACGAGTTTTGAGGAAAACGCAATTGAGAGAGCACGCCTATGCTTTGAAACAA